ACTTGATTCGCTGTCTCCACCCCAGCAGGGCCTTGGAGCAGCTCTGGACTCAACGCACAGTCCACATGCATCAACCCTCATGCCCGGCTCTGGTCCTCCCTGTGCACTCTCTAGCCCATGTCCGGGTGACTTCACACTAGCGAAACTCTAGAGACTTCCACGCACACTCCTAGGACACCCCCACGGCCGACCTCCTGTCATGGCCACCTGCATCCCCATCTGACCACAAGCTGCCTGGAAGGGGCTGAACGCCCTTTCTGTGCCTCACACGCCCAGTCGGCACAGGCCCCGTGGTCCTCCACCAGCATGCCACGGGCCACAAAGAAAAGGCCTAATGGTGTGGAGAAACTATTTTTGAAAACGTACAAAGCTTCTCAAAAAGGAATGGAATCCTGACATATGCTACAACATGGATGGTCCCTGAATACATTATGCTAAGAGAAACTAGCCCTATGCATATGCACACACGCGCGCGCACAAACTGTGTGATTCTATTTACAAGGCCCCCAGAAGAGTCACTCAGGGAGGCAGAAAGCAGAACGGGGGGTGCCGGGCCCGGGGGCAGGGGAGTAAGGAGTTGAGTGCTGAATGGGATTGATCTAGCAGGGATGATGAAAAGTCCCGGAGGTGGATGGCGGTGACGGTTGCACACAAAGACGAATGCTCTTAACGCTGTGACCAGAGAAGCACGGAGGTGGTCTGGGGTGACTGGTGTGGCTCACAAACGCACCCCTGAATGGGCCTGTCTCTTGGTGGCTTTTAGTGACGGCTACCAGGGTGCAATTTGAGAAGCAGAGTCTTCCGTATACAGGAACTCTGCCACCAGCCAGTGCCAATGCCCCGGTCTGGACCCAGGTATCTTGCTTCCATGAGCAGGCGCCTGCAATCTTTCATCAGCACACGTTTCCCATTTCCTTCATCTTCTGGCCTTGCTGGTGTTCTCCGTATTCACAAATGCCCATTTCTCATCCCTCCTGGGACAGCCCCAACGTGGCCCCTGTGGCTCTGGGTGGCATCCGGCCCCGCACTCTGGCCTGGTGGGCAGCCACTCCCTGCCTCCTGCCAGTTGTCAGGCAATCTAACACCCAACTAGGTATTTTACTGGCAAAGCCACACTGGCTCACTCGAAGGCCAAGTGCATTGCAGCCACTGCTTCACCCAGTGGGCTCATGCCACTGCCTCCAAGAGACTGATCGTGCTGGTCGGGCCTGGCTGCCTTTCTGTAAATCTCTCTCTCCAGTCTGTTTCCAAGTGATCGTGCTTAGTCCCTGATCAAAGATCACAGGTTCTTTTCCAATTTAGGGGATGGGCTTGCAGGTATGTGGTTATCAGTTTAACTCCTAAATTTAAAAATATACACAGATAAAAATGACTTGCTGTGTCTCCCTAAGGCCTTCATACTTTTTTTTTTTTGAGTTGGAGTCTCACTCCATCACCCAGGCTGGAGTGCAGTGGCACGCTCCCGGCCACCCCAGTGTGCCGACCTGCTGGGCTTAGACGATCCTTCCACCTCAGCCTCCCAAGTAGCCAGAACGACAGGCACACACCACCATGCCCGGCTAATTTTTGATTTATTGTAGAGATGAGGGCTCACCAACTTGCCCAGGCTGGTCTCAAATCTCTGGGCTCAGGCAATTCTCTCGCCTCAGCCTCCCAAAGCACTGGGATTACAGGCTTAAGCCACTGTGCCTGGCGTGTATTTTTTAGAAGAGAAAAATCCTGTCACACATACTTTCTTTTATTTACCATCCTTTTCGAAATATTTTCTACTTTTTCTTTGCAATTTCCTAATTATATTTTCTCAATCCTTCTAAAACAGAGTCTAAGATGTATGTTCTATTATTTCTGCCGTCATCAATTCTACATTTTCTGCCTCCAGGATACAGCGCTATCTCTTGCTTGTTTTCTTCCATCTCTCTAACAAGCACAAAAGAATCTGTCTGTTCCTCAGAGAATTCTCTCGGCTCACATCAAGACCTGTCAACACATGTCAGGGTGCCTCCCCCTTATTATGAAACACTACGGTCTTGTATCATGTGACGGCACTGGCTGCCCTCGCTACAGTCTCTTACTTTCCATGTATGGGGCAGGATCGCGTCACTCCCAGGACACTCTGTAGATGAACTCTATCTACGGTCCCAAGAAGAACATGCCGAAAAAATATTTCTATGAATTTCTATCAGCACAAGTCCTGTCACAAGAACCCTGGACTTCTGCATTTTGCCAAGACAAGAGTTGTCGATGTTATGTCGTGAACCAAAGAATCCTAAGTTCCTGATACACCCCTGAATCACACTGACATGAAAGTTCATCTTGGCTGGGCTCGGTGGCTCAGCCTGTAATCCCAGAGCATTGGGAGGCTGAGGTGAGTGGATTGCCTGAGTCCGTGGGTTTGAGACCGGCCTGGGCAACTTGGTGAGACCTCATCTCTACAATAAATCAAAAAA